AATTTCTCTGAAACACTGTTCAGTTTACACAATAATTAATTTCATCTACATTACAACTGCTTAAAAGGAAACGGAAGTGGCACATCACAAGCAATATTCGACTAACTACAACTGTCCAGAGACACTTCAGAAACAGGTCTTCAAAGGCCAGCTGGCAGCAGAGTGGAGTTGTTTCATGTCCACAGAAAAGACAAGACAGCCAGACAGATGGAGATGAGACAGACAACTGGCATTTCTACACATTTGTGATATGTGCCTAACAGTGGACATACAGAGACATACAACTCACCTCAGGTTCAACCTTTATTTCCTGAATTGTTATTTGCAGAGGATCTGCTTCCTCTTGTGACTCAGAGACTTCCTCAGCTTTTATATTCATGGCCTGGTTTGCATGACGACTTGCTGGGTACGTCTCACCATATGGACCCACTAAAACTTTCTCTGAATTGGAACAGTTCTATAAAACCATCACATCTTTTATTAGTTATGGTTGTACAACACCATACATGAAAGAATGTATGCTCTCTTTGCTGTAGCTGTTTTTCATTACATCTACTCCATAACAGCTGCTCTGTACAGATTTCCTTTTTACAGACTTCAAAAACCTTGCAAAGTATTAAGTTCATAATGTAGGGACCATCAAAAGAAAATTATGGTCCCTGTGGAAGTACAGAAAATATCTGCTCTTTATGGTACCTAAGAGCTCATTACTGTGTTCACATATGCCCCTCATGACTTTGCATCCTGACACAAACAAACCAAGTCCAAATACCTCAAAATTATATCTTTAAAATCCATCTGCAAAATTTCTCCCAAGTGGTATCATTCTTTCAGGTTTTCTTTCTAAATCTTTGTACACACTTCTCATTCTAACATGTGTGCTATACAACCTACCCATAGCGCTCTCCTTGAATTGAACCCTGTCCTACATAATATACCAAATTGTTATAATATGAAGGAGCATGTACACTCCCTAGAGGGGTTATGGAAACTAAGCTTGGCATAAAATATGTTTAGTTTCTTGCACTATGAGAACTGACAGATGACAATAAAATTTTTGCCTGTGCACATATGGACAAAACACTCACCATGATTTCTCTCACAGCAGGAAATATTTCTTCAGCTCTTTGTTACAGAATTGTTGGCATGCCTGCTGCAAGAGAATGCAGAACCTTTCACAAATTTGAAACCTTTTTTCTTATCACACACGATGTTTTGTGGGTTGCAAATTAATTGATTTACAAGAATACTAGTGATGTAGGACCATATTTCTAACAAGTGTACCAGCACCTATCAACAAATATTTGTTCAAGTCTGTAAGGAAACATGCTAATGATTGTGTACAAACAGATTTTGATGTGGATTTCTTTGTTCTCACAGCAGACTATGAAGCTTCGCGTTTTATTATGCATTGTGTAGTCTGGCAGATTGTTCCTCAAGTTTCAAAGGCAGATGATTCACCCCTTTTGGGTACACAAGACTGAACGGAGTTACACTCTAAGAATGGTACACCTACCTTAAAGGTACACATTTGCGGACACGTGGCGTAGTTTGTTGAGAGGCTATGCTACAAGCGTTAGGGGCCCGGGTTCAAGGCCCAATGGGGTCATCGCATTTTTTGTAATTGACCTAATCCTTCTTACCGCACTATGGCTCAGGGATCGACTTAGCTTCTAATATAAATGGGTACCAGGTATTATTTAAATAATTTTCCTGGGGAGTAGAGAGCGGTCGGCGCGTAAGGCTGACAACCTTACCGCCATCTTTGGGCCGATTGTCTAGATAATTTGGGACTCTCAACGTCTCACAACCCCATGGGCAACAGGCGACAAGGGGCTATGTAAACAGTAAAAATCTGCATTCTGCTAGAAATATGCTCAGAAAGGGCAATGAGGTGTTTACAGAAATCACAAGTTGAACTTGCAACAGTGAAATAATAACACGAATCCGAACGGTGTTCGTTTTTAACAATCTGTCAAGAATATTCAGAAGTTTAATTTCTTTCGAATGATCGTAATGATTCCCGGAAGAGTACACGCAACTTACCCGCCTACAATCAAAACGCAATTCAGAGTGACACTGTAATAAACAATAATGATCAATTGTGATTATTGTGATCAATGATCGTTTTCCATCGTTAGCGACGCTCCAAGAGTCTGTAGTACCATAGTCCACGGATAGAGTGTTGCACATTATGATGTTGTGTGTTCTGAGCATCTGTGTGTCTGTGATCTCTGTTATAACCCTTGCCGGTCCTTGCACTGCCCTGGTGGACTTGGTTGGCCAGCCTGCCACCGTTATGTTGGTGAACGAAGAGTTGGATCATTGTTGCCAACGGAACGCGAAAGGGATGACTGCTGATCGTCGTAGTACTTTGTAATTAAAGTGTACATAACGTATTTACTGTAGAATTTTTCCGGCTTACGCTCTGTAATTTAGAAAGTCTTGTAGATGAACTGAAATATTAGAAATGTTTAAAAAGTAAGGGAATTTCTAATTCAGTTATGTTAATAACCGTACATATTAACTTGACAGTGCAAGATCATACCTGTAATCTATTTAATAAATTAATGTTCATTTGTATTAATTAGTATTTTCAACCGTCTTATAGTGGAATATCTGAAGTTTTGTGATGATGGTTGTTTCATTGCATCATTCTATTCCCTTATTTTTCACTACTTGCCTGTTTCGATCAGTACGTTTGTTTCGTGAAGTGAAACACAAAATGAAAATAAAAATTTAGTAGACGTTAAACGTATAAAATGTTTGATAAAAATAGTGTGTTTTTCGCAACTTGATGGACATTGATGCACTGCTACATTTAGGCTGACTACAATGTTGCGTTGTTGGTGTTTAGCTGTATATTTCCCAGACCATGGTGGAGGCTGTTCCTTCTTGGGCTTCGACTGTAGTATTGCTCTTACTCTTCAGCTGTTCGAAATATGTTTTCCACACCATAATGGACACTGGTGCACCATTTTTCATGGGCTGAGAGTAGTTTTTTTTTTTTGGCATCTGCTCACTGGAACTGTACCTGTTTTAT